AGCTGCAGCAGTCTGGGGTGGGGAAAGGCTGTGATTCCCACAGTTTGGGGGAGTGTCAGCTCACGGTCTTGGGATTAAAGTGTCCTCTGGTCCCCTACAGCAACATGTGCCTCTCCTCACACTTCCTGAGTAGACAGCCCAGCCACTGTCCTTCATTTCCCTTCGAAAGCAGGCTTAGTGCAGGGCGGGGCTGTGTCCCCCACACCTAACAAAGGACCTGGCACATGGAAGGAGCCCAGTCAGTATCTCTTGAGAGTTTGCAGACAGTGAGGAGAGTTGGCTTGTGTTTTCTTATTGGCTTACCCATAGAAATTAAATTTTAGTATCTCAAAGGCGCTCCGTTTTGGAGAACTCACATCCTGACATTGGGGCACTTGTAAAAATATATACTTTTTTTTTTTTTTATTCCCATGGAGTCTCACTTTGTCACCCAGGCTGGAGTACAGTGGCGCTATCTTGGCTCACTGTAACCTCTGCCTCCTGGGTTCAAGCAATTCTCCTGCCTCAGCCTCCCAAGTAGCTGGGATTATAGGCGCCCACCACCACGCCCGGCTAATTTTAGTATTTTTAGTAAAGACAGGGTTTCACCATGTTGACCAGGCTGGTCTCGAACTCCTGACTTCAGGTGATCCACCTGCCTCGGCCTCCCAAAGTGCTGGGATTACAGGCATGAGCCACCATGCCTGGCCTTAAGAATATACATTTTTATATTTATATAGAGATGAGGTTCCACTATGCTGCTCAGGCTGGTCTTCAACTCTTTGGCGATCTTCCTGCCTCGGCCTCCCTAAGTGTTGGGATTACAGGTGTGAGCCACTGCGCCCGGAGCAGCTGCATCCTGAGTTACTCTAGAGGCCTCTCCTCCACTCCCAGTCAGAACAGCCCTTCTGGCTCAGGACTTGGGGTGTCATGCAGCTCCACACTGGGTGTCTGCAGGCAGCTGACATGAGGGGGTCCCCTGAGCCTGGCCACAGTATATTCTTAGGGGGCTGACACTTGTGTTAAAATATATGGACTTGGTCATAGGCAATTTTAGATGATTTAAGTTTGGGGATGTTGGCTTTGACAGTCGCATGAGAATGATGAAAATGAAAATCTTCAGGAGCAAGTCTGTTGGCTGGCAGGGTCTGAGCCGGGACCTGGAGCTGCCCTGCTCAGGACAGCTGTTGGGAATGGGATTCTGACAGGCACTGCCCTAAGAGAAGGCAGAGACCTGGAATCAAGGGGAAGGCAAGGCGGTAACTGGACTCCACTCCCAGGGCCAGCTGGTCTCTTCAGGAGTGAGGTAGGGGTGGGGTAGGTGCCCCATCCAGATGCTCTCATGCCCAGGCTGTTTGGGTGGGGGGCTGGTGTCCTGCCAGAGTGAAGCTTGCCTCATCTATTTTGCCTACTCACCCTGTGCGTAGTAATGTTCATCCTGGTGCTATAGAATCAGAATTTTCTGTCCAAAAGGCCTGAAAATGTCACCCAACCCATCCGATACTGGCATCCCTCCTGAGCTTCCCATCAGACGGTCCCTGTGGGATTCCCTGGAGGGGGCCCCCCCTGCCGGCACCCTCAGGAGTGGACTCGTTCCTCTGGGACCCTGCTGCATGGGGCTTGGCCTCTCCCAGGCCCCAGTGCATCTCTTGGGAAATACTCACTGGGCATTTGCTGTGGGCCAGGCCCCAGGAGGCGTAGATACTGAGGGTTCTGTACCAGGAGCACCTCCCTACCTGTCCTCCTGCCATCCTGGGGAGGTGGCAGCAAGGGCAGAGTAGGTAGTTGTGGTGAGCACTGAGTTGCCTTTTGAGGTGGACAGAGGTGAGATCTGAGCCTCATATTGGCAAATATTGCATGAGGCATTGACCACAGGTGCCCAGCGTCGTGCCGGCCACGTGGAAGGCAGTTGCTAAACAGTTATTGCCGTCTCCCCGCCTCCGGCCTCTTTCCAGCTTTGGGGATTACCCTCCCCTAAGGCGCCTCCACCAATGTCTTTCCCCTGCTCAGAGCCTTTACATGGCTCCCCTGCTTGCCCAGAATCCAGTCCAGTCTTCCTAGCTTGGGATTGACCATCCTTCATGTGATCTGCCTCAGTCTCCCTGACATGTGCCTACCTCAGTGAATCACGGGAGCTTCTCAGCCTCTCCTCACTTTCTGTCCTGAGCCAGATGCCCTGTCGCTCTTGCCTGCTCCATTTCTGGCTGTCCAGCTCCAGGGCTGCCTCCTGTGTGTGGCCCTTGTGCGTCCACCCTAGTCACCAGTGCAGTAGCTTACCTCGAACACCAGAAGCAGGGCTGTGCGGGCTGGAGTCTGGCAGGCCACTGCTGCCCGCATTCAGTCCATTGGTGTTGGACTTGTGCTACTTTCTCTTACCTTTTTCATTACTTTCCCACGCCGTTTCCTCTGTGTCCCCAGCACCTGCTATAGTGCTGTGGGCATGGCAGGTGCTTAAGATTGTTTATCTAAGCTGCTTCTTATTACCTATGGGACTTTGGCCAAGTCAATTCCCCCAGCAGGGCCCGTTTCCTTAACTGTGGAGTGACCGAGGTGATGTCTCAGACCTTGTGTGGCTGTAAGGGACTGTAGTGTGTATTGGGAAGTCCTCAGGGGCTGCACAGAATGCAGGGAGAAGGCATCAGGGAGGCGGAGTGTGCAGGGCCTGAGGGGGTGAAGCCCAGAAGGTTCCTCTGTCCAGGGTCAGTCACATGAAGGTGTGACTGGGCCCTCACCCAGCCAAGTGGACATAAGGAGGAGAGGCTGTTGTGGCCCAGGCACAGACACAGTCTCTAGGGAGCATTCCACGCCTGCAGAGAGCAAGTGGCCCAGGGACCTTCGCCCAGTGATAGGAGGCTTTTTCCAGGGACATTTCTGCCTGTTTGCAGAGTCGAGGGCCCTGCACTTGATTGTGGAGTTGGAGGGTGTGCAGTGTAGGCCAAGTGGGGCAGCTCATTGTCCCCCAACACAACGGGAGCTCCTGGATCAGGGCAAGTCAGGAACATGATGGAAACCAGGTGTGGCCAGGACCTCAGGATACCTGGGTTCATATCCTGATTCCATTACTCACTTGTCTGCCGACTTTGGCAAGGAGTAGACTCTATTTTTTTTTTTTTTAATAAAATACAGGGATAGGACTAGATTGTATCTAAGGATCTATAAACCTGACCACATATATTAGGATTCTTTATGTTGTAAGTGACAGAGACCAAGTTAAAATTAGCATAAGCAAACAAAGGGAATTATTTGGCCCATGTAACAAAATTATCTGGTTTCTGGTATATCTAGATTCCTGTCTCTCTCTCTCTCTCTCTCTCAGCTTTCAGCTTCTTTCCCTGTGTTGGTCTCCTTTTCTCATGCTAAAGATGGGCTTTCTCTCCTTGGTGGGAAACATGGTCCATGGCCACTTCCAATTGATATCATAGCATATTGGCCCAAGACACAAGGCTCCACTCTCAAAAATCCCCAGGGAGATTCTAAGTGGCCCAATTTGGGTCATGTGCCACCCCGGTCCAGTCATAGGCTGGGCCAGTGGCACATCATGACCTCAATATCAGACCAATTGGTAGTTCCACCCGAAGTGTACAATAAAGTAGAAAAGGGATTATTACCAAGAGAAGGAGCTCACTAAACAGACTGGAAGAGAAAAATGTCCACTCTACTATGATAATCAGATTTTGGCCTAGTATAAAAGGGTCTTATTTTTCCTCTGTACTGATTATAAACTTGAGAGGTCCAAGCCCCTCTCTGATTCTGTAACCTCTCTCCCAGCACTACAGGGGCCAGATATCTATTTGACTCTGGTGGTTCCTTCAGATTTGGGCTCTGACACCATTTGTAGCCTGAAAACAAGTCCCGTAATTCCTTTGAAACTTTATTTCCTGCTCTGACCATTGGGGAATTTGTGCTAATTGGTATGATTTTAAAGAACAGCTCATTTTAAAGAATGCTTGATGCTCAAAATAACAAAATACAGGAAGCAGCATAAAAGTTCACTCGGGGACAGGTTGAAAAGTTATAATACATTCATATAATGGAATACTATGCTGATGCAAAAAAGAATCAGGACACCCATACATGCCTAACATAGAAAGATCTCCAAGGTAGATGTTTAGGGGAGGAGCAAAGTGTAGAGCAGGGGTAGAGCAGGGGCGTCCAATCCTTTGGCTTCCTTGGGCCACACATAAAATATACTAACACTAATGATAGCTGATGAGCTTTTAAAAAAAATTTTTTTTTAATCTCAAAATGTTTTATGAAATTTTACGAATTTGTATTAGGCCACATTCAAAGCTGTCATGGGCTGGGCTGTGGGTTGGACAAGCTTAGTGTAATGTGTTTGAAATGTTAACCATTTGCATTTTAAAAGATCATGGGGTGAAATATATTAGCTTGAATATGCCTGGTGAATATGCATTTTTAAATCCCTGTAAAGATACACAAGAAACCGGCCAGGCACGGTGGCTCACGCTTGTAATTCCAGCACTTTGGGAAGCCAAGACAGATTGCTCCAGTCCAGGAGTTCAAGACCAGCCTGGGCAATATAGTGACACTCTGTCTCTACAAAAAATAAAAAATTAGCCAGGCATGGTGGCCTGTGCCTGTAGCCCCAGCTACTAGGGAAGCTGAAGCAGGAGGATTGTTTGAGCCCAGGAGGCGGAGGTTGCAGTAAGCCGAATTGTACCACCTCACTCCAACTTGGGTGCTAGGGTGAGACCCTGACTCAAAAAAAAAAAAAAAATACACAAGAAACTAACAACAGTTCTTTTGGGAATGGGGGGTGGAAACTGGGAAGATGGACAGGTGTAGGAGGGAGACTTCCCTGTATGCCTTTTTGTACTTTTGGATCTTTAAATCATGTTAGATATTATTGATTAAAAAAATTGTTTTTCAGAAAAAGGAAAAATTGCTTAAACAAAGCACAAAGTCTCCTTCAGATGTAGAGCTGTATAAAAATACTCTCAGAGAATTGCTGTAACCAATGTCAAATACACAAAAACTGATGATGCTGTTTTCTTACTTAGGCACTAAAAGAAGAAATCAAAGAGATGCATGGATTACGGATATTTACCTCTGTCCCCAAACGCTGACCACGCCCTGGCTGCATAGATGCTGCTGCTTAAGACCTCGGATGAACTTGACTAACATCATTCTTCCCTAAGCATTCACCAAAAAATTTATATATTTTGCTCATATACATTTCCATATTATAATTATAGAAGATGTATAATCTATTTAGATGTTAATTAAAGGAAACAAACAACTGAAGCTTTTGAAGGGTCATTAGTAATATTTCAGGTTCCTTTACTTTGGCCAAAGGGGTCTTGTCTTTAGACAGTTCTGTCCTGCTGCTACAGAGAGAGAATGCAGTGCCAGCTTTTTGTCTTGTAAAGAGGTTTTCCTGTTTCTTCCCCCCACGAAACTGCTGAGGCTTCTTCATCTTACTGAAACAAAGAAAAGATCCTTTGCTATTGCTGTTCTTTTCCTTTATCATTCTTTTCTTCCCCCTCTAAACTTCTTACATGAATGATCTGGGACCCTCAATTTCTTATGCTGTGAAACGGACTCTGAGGATTTGGGGGTGCCAGGATCCGGGTTCTTTTCCTCACCCAGTGTGGAGCTGCATGACACCCCAAGTCCTGTGCTGAGGCACAGGCAGACGTTCCAGACTCAGCCAATCAGATGGACCTGCCCTGAACTTGGGAGCAAGTGACACTGAGGAGCAGGGACGGTGGGACATCCATTCCTGCTGCAGCCATGGCTACAACATCTGGTGTTCTGGATGGTGGTGGTGGCAGCTGATGGAGTGCTAGAAGCTGCTATCTCTGGAGTCTGGTAGTGGTTGCGGTGTCTGTGGTTTGGGCTCCAGCCACGGAGCTTTCCTTGTCCCTGTTTTCAGCAGCTGGCCCGCCAGTGTTCCCAGACATCTTGTGACTGCCCCACACCCTTTCATTAAATTATTTTCTGCTCCCATCAGCCAGCACCCCCGTTACCATGGCAGTGGGAGGTTGACCATCCACTCCTCTCTCACACTCCTTTGCCTTTCAAGGAACCGACCACCAGAGAAGTTAGCGGTCACTATTGGTTCTGAAGGTTCCTCCCTAAGAAATGAGGACATGAAGATATAACAACCTTGGGCCCCAGGTTTTTGGGGGCAGAAAAAAATTTCAAATATTCTGTTCATATACTGTGCCCCCATTTTGTAATTGTAACATATTCTCTGTCTGCACAGTGGGGTTGGGAGGGATTGGTACCTGCCAGGGGAGAACTGCCTTTCTTTTTTTTTTTTTTTTTTTTTTTGAGACAGAGTCTCGCTCTGTCACCCAGGCTGGAGTGCCCGGATCTCAGCTCACTGCAAGCTCCGCCTCCCGGGTTCACGCCATTCTCCTGCCTCAGCCTCCCGAGTAGCTGGGACTACAGGTGCCCGCCACCTCGCCCGGCTAGTTTTTTGTATTTTTTAGGAGAGACGGGGTTTCACCGTGTTAGCCAGGATGGTCTCGATCTCCTGACCTCGTGATCCGCCCGTCTCGGCCTCCCAAAGTGCTGGGATTACAGGCTTGAGCCACCGCGCCCAGTGAGAACTGCCTTTCTTACAAAGAGTAGAGTCACTGAGTTGTATCAGAGCTGAGAAGGATGGGACAAAACAGAACTATGCCTGAAGGCCCGAGCCATCTCTGAAACAGCTAGACACTCCAGGGATGGCTTTCAGGTGATGTGGTGAGGAAACACCCAAGCTTGGAATCCCAGAGGCCAGCAGGATGGCAGTGGTCAGTGAGAATGGAGAGACCTCAAAATTAGACACACTGATTCCCTGCGTGGAACCTATTTGTCTTTCTCTTAAGAGTGGGCTCAACATAGTGATCTAAAGAACAGAATAGGCCAGGTGTGGTGGCTCACACCTGTAATCCCAGCACTTTGGGAGGCCAAGGGGTGGGGCGGGGGGCATGGATCACAAGGTCAGGAGTTCGAGACCAGCTTGACCAACATGGTGAAACCCCGTCTCTACTAAAAATACAAAAATTAGCCAGGCATGGCGGCACGCACCAGTAATCCCAGCTACTCAGGAGGCTGAGGCAGGAGAATTGCTTGAACCCAGGAGGCAGAAATTGCAGTGAGCCAAGATTGCGCCACTGCACTCCAGCCTGGGCGACAGAGCGAGACTCTGTCTAAAAAAAAAAAAAAAAAAAAAAACCCAGAATAAAGTGAAAGTGACCTTCAGTTTCAGAGAATACATCATGTAATGCACAGTGGCTTTCTCCTTGCTCTCTCCCTTGGCTTGTTTGCTCTGGGGGAAGGCAGCCATGTTGTGAGGACACTCAAGCAGCCTGCGGAGAGGTCCATATGGTGAGAAACTGAGGCCTTTTACCAACAGCCAGCCAAACGGGCCTGCCAACAGCCAGCACAGAATGAGGCCTTCTGCCAGGACAAGAGCCATGTAGATGAGCCACTTGGGAAATGGATCCTTCAGTCACAGTCAAGCCATCAGAAGAGTACAGCCCCAGCTGGCATCCTGACTGCAGGTTGAGCCAGAGCCACTCAGCTGAGCCACTCCCCAATTTCTGACCAAGAGAAACTGTGAAATACATGTATGTGTTTGTTGTTTTAAGCCACTGTTTGGGGTTACATTTTTATGCAGCAATTGATAATTAATATATTTGTTCATTACTGAAGGAACACAGGGGCCTCTCATTTATTGACAGAAGGGTTGAAAAGTCAAACTTTAGGCCGGGCGCGGTGGCACACGTGTGTAATCCCAGCACTTTGGGAGGCTGAGGTGGGTGGATCACTTGAGGTCAGGAGATTGAGACCATCCTGGCTAACACGCTGAAACCCCATCTCTACTAAAAAATACAAAAAAACTAGCCGGGCGAGGTGGCGGGCGCCTGTAGTCCCAGCTACTCGGGAGGCTGAGGCAGGAGAATGGCCTGAACCCGGGAGGCGGAGCTTGCAGTGAGCTGAGATCCGGCCACTGCACTCCAGCCTGGGTGACAGAGCAAGACTCCGTCTCAAAAACAAAACAAAACAAAAAAAACAAAAATTAGCCAGGCATAGTGGCATGTGCCTGTAGTCCCAGCTACTCAGGAGGTTGAGGCAGGAGAATCGCTCAAACCTGGGAAGCAGAGGCTGCAGTGAGCCAAGATCGTGCTACCGCACTCCAGCCTGGATGACAGAGCCAGACTCCATCTCAAAAAGAAAGAAGAGAAAAGAAAAGAAAAGAAAAAGAGCCAAATTGCAGAAAGGACACAGGTCCAGCTAAGAGTCAGGAACACCAGTGCCACTGGGTCTCCCCTTCATCTGCTGTCCATTCTTCTCTGCAGATCAGCTTTATTATCTCTTACTCTAGATTGGCATCTGCCATACAGTGGTGACTTGACTGCCTGTAGCTCTTAATTTATATATTTTAATGTCCAGGCCAGCCAGATGTGGTGGCTCACATATGTAATCCCAACACTTTGGGAGGCAGAGATGGGAGAATTGTTTGAGCCCAGGAGTTGAGACCAGCCTGGGTAACAAGTAAGACACTGTTTCTACAAAAAATAAAAATTAAAAAAATTAGCCAGTTGTGGTGACATGCACCTGTAGCCCTAGGAACTCTGGAGGCTAAGGCAGGAGGATCACTTGAGCCCAGGAGTTTGAGGCTGCAGTAAGCTGTGATTGCGTCACTGCACTCAGCCTGGATGGCACACAGTGAGATCCTGTTCAGGCCATGAGAAGAGCAGACTTTCAAGTTCCCAGGAGGGCCTCTGATTGGCTCATCTTGAATCGGGAGCCACCTGGACTAAACCGTTGCACGAGCAGACTTCCTTTTTAAGTTCCCAGGAGGGCCTCTGATGGGCTCATCTTGAATCAGGAGCCACCTGTACTAACGTGTTGGAAGAGCAAACTTTCAAGTTCCCAGGAAGGCCTCTGATTGGCTCATCTTGAATTCAGAGCCACCTGGACTAACCAGGTGGAGTCCAGGGGTGGTATAAAATTGCAGTCTCTAGCTGAACTCCGGCTTGAAGTGGAGAGAGGAGGCGTTACCACAAGAAGAGGGGGTTCTATTCTTCGAAGAAGGGCTAGGACAGAGCAGCAGATGTTCTTCACTGGAGGAAAAGGTAAGTGTGGCTTTGTGGGCCAAGCTGCCTAGGAACCTCCGGACACCAGAAAACGGGACTCTTCCTTCTGCTTCACCCCACCCGCACCCTGGGAATTCTTCAGGCTTGTGAAATGTGTAATCCCCTAAATGCTTCTAAATCTGGAAACAAGTAACCACCCCCCTCACCCAGTTGTTCTTTCCCCCAAATTAAAAGGAAAGTTGGGAGAGGAATCACAGGTTTTCTTTTTAATTGATGGATTAGAAAAGAAGAAAGTGTTTAATCCCAGTGGCTAGAGTATAGCATTGCATCGAATGCAGCCACCTCCTAGCTTTTTAAGTGTTGCTTGTGGAAAGTGCTAGGTTCACCTGAGAGGTCTTCTGAGCTCAGTGTCCTTTTAAAAACAACGTGCAGTTTTCCAGTGGAAAACCCAAAGTGCCCTGAGGTGCCTGCTGACTGGGCAAGTCAGTGTAGGGGAAACCGCCTGCTCCACAGCCCTCCCCTGGGCACATTTCGTTCCTGGGTTCCTGTAGTGCCCCTCAGCCCTGGTTAGACCACCTAACTAGCAGTATAGGGGACAGGGTGGCCAGTAACTTGAGAGGGGACCTGAGGCTGCAAAGCCCCACCCAGACACAGACTGGTTAGGAGCCAATGGTTTCAATTCCCTTTCTTGGGAATCCAGAGTGGGAAAGGTGAGTGAATGACTCGCGGAGAGCCAGTCCACGACCAGACAATGGCTGCTGGAGCGCTCAGGGCAAACGGACCTGGGAATCCAAATCGGGAAGTGCGGAGATAATGGACTGGAGAGGCCAAAGTTGAACAAATGGACTGAGAAGGTCATGAATGAAGGGTTGTGGCAAGAACGTGCTAAGAGAAAGCAGTCACTGAAATAAAGAAGATACAGTGATTCCCATTCTGGCTGTAAATTCGAACCACCTGGGATAATTACAAATACCCCTTCCTGGGTCCCTGCCAGGTTTAAGAGTCTCATTAGTGAGGGGAGGGGAGAGCGGAGGCACAGAGACCAGGTAAGTCACGGCACGGGTGGACTCTCCTCTCTATCCCCTACCAGCCCCCCAGGCCTTCCCTGCCCACCGCAGTTCCCCTCCGTCCAGCCCCTTTTCCCTCGATGGGGCTACTGTGCATCCATTAATTCGTCTGCTCGCCTCCACCCCCTCACCCATTTGCGGG